TGGCATGTGGTGCTGGGGGATTGAACCGCGGTCCCTGTGCTTTGCTAAGCTTGTTCTAAGTAGGTGCTTTAGACCACTAAGCCATCTCACCAGTCCCCATATTTTTCAATTATATAAATTGTGCATATCTCTTAGTAAGGGAACTACAACTATAATAGGTCTGTTACCTGGACTGAAAAGCAGGTTCTCAATGCAAGTAGTATGTCATATTCATTTTTTCAATATCTAGGACAGTGCCTACTCTCAAGCTTTGTGAATGAACAAATGAAAACAGTAGAGAAAGAAATGAGGTCGGCCTTGAAAACTGGATGGGCTGTAGGTCTACAAAAGTGATTTCAGACAAATAAATACAATGGTATGGGCAATGAGAAAGAGGAAACTTGGGGAACAAAGGCACTGTCCTAAAGAAGATTCAGGTGGCTGGGGAGATGGTTCAGTGGAATAAGCACTTCCCTGGTAAGTGCAAGGGCCTGAGTTCAATCCCCGGTTCTGCCAAAAAAAAAAAAAAAAAAGATTCAGTTTCCTTGTCCAATCTGCACAAACCATGTTTGTTCCCTGCCTGACAAGCCTTGGATCCACCTCTCCTTATTCTATATGATTCTTTCACTTTACTCAGGTATCTGCTCAAGTATCATCTCACCAGAGGGCTTCTCTGACCAACATATCTGTAATTTTTTTTTTAAGGACAGTCTTTGCTACGCAGTTCAGGCAGGCCTTGAGCTCAATTTGCAGCTCAGGCTGGCCTCAAACTCAACAGTGATCCTACAGCCTCAGCCTCCCAAGTGCTGGGATTACAGGTGTGTATCACCATATCTAGCTCCTGACCAACATACCCAAAATCCCATAGCACTCTCACTTTCTAGAACTTGCCTCTTCTTAGCAGAAGATTACTGAGGGGATCTCTAATCACTCTGTGTGTGTGTGTGTGTGTGTGTGTGTGTGTTGTGGAGTTCAGTTGCTGATTGTTCAGGGCCTGGCCTGTACAATTCTGGGAAAGCAGTCTGCCAGTAAGCTACATCCCTGATCTCTTTCTAAAGATTTATTATTTTTGTACTTGTATTAGAACTGGCTCACTTTAATTTTAAATCCAAGTTCACTGTCAGGTTTTTAGAACAATATCCAATAAACTTCACAGCACAACGACAAATACATACATAAATGAATTTTCATAGTAAAAGGTGTGTTGATCACTTGTCACCTCAGTTTCTTCCATAAAACCTGGAAACCACAGAGAATGCTTACTGCAACTCACGTGCCAGTCATTCCCAGAAATAGGCTAGAAAGAATTTTATTCCTTAATGGTAGAGATTCTAGGAATGAGGCAAACCATCCATAAGTTATCATCCAGACTGAGTAGTTAATATGTGAGGACCCAGGGAAAAGCAGGCACCAGTTATCAGAAGGTACACTTTAGCTTCCTGCCTACTTAAATTTAAATGCGTGTTGCCGCAAAGTTAATTCCACAGGTCGTCACCGACCAGACAGACGCAGCCTCAAAAGTGTCTGGAGCTGCACAGGTGTGCCCGGCCTAAGCTACGGGACACGCAGACAGCTGTGCGCTCTGGGGTGACCTTCCCCCCTCTGCCCACCGCACTGGGAAATCGCAATCTGTGAAGCCGCAAAATACAGGTAAGCGTTTTAGGCCAGCGTTCTTCTAGAGAGCAGGGCAAAGCAGCCAGTCATGGATTCATGTTGCGCTTGAGTACAAAATTCCTGGGCCTGTGGCCTGACTCCCGGCAGCTAAGCGCGGCAGGAGATGAAGGATCGAAGTGCAAGCCCGAAGTAGAGCTGTCCTCCACGCTGCGCCCCGCGGCCCCGCCCGAGCCCGCGGCCGCCGCCCCCGCGCGCCCCGCCACCTCACCTGCGGGCTTGTCTGCAGCCATCTTCCCGCCTCCGCCCCGGTGCTTTCCTGCAGCTGGTGCGCCCCGACTCCCGCCGTCCCGCTGCCCTGGACTTCGGAAGACAACTCCGAGCCCACCTCAGCTCCTGGCCCCCTTGTTCCGGCCTGAGAAGTGGACTGACTGCAGGCTGAGGAAGTGGCGAGAGCTAGCTTGCGTCGTCTAGCAACAGCAGCGGCGTCTCAGCCCAGGCAGCACCAAAGCCTGCCGCCAAACACAGCTTCCGCCCTGAAGCGTCTGTACACACCACTTCCGGGATCGGGGCCCGCCACACCGCGAACTGGGCGTGGGAGCCGCCGCGGACGGGCCCAGCCTGCCTTCGCGTCCAGGCGCATGCGCGCCAGCTCGGACATGCGCGCTGGCTCCCTTGTGGGGCGGGAAGGGGGAGGGAGGGGGAGCGGAGAAGGGAGGGGAGGAAAAGGGGAGGGGGAGGAGACAGGAGGGAGGGGGAGGAGGGAGGAGGTGCGGACCCGGAAGCAGCAGGACTCGTCTGTGCGTAGCTTGACCAAAATCCCGTAGCCTGACTAAAATACCATAGTCGAGTTCTAGATCCTCATTTTGATATAGGGGAGGTAAATGTAACCGCCAATCTGACAGATGTCAGATGTACTGAGTTTATGCTCCCCAAATTGGAAAATGAATTATAAGGAACTACAGATAACTCCCTGTTCCCAAAATTATCTCGATATCTTTTTGTGACATCCTGTGATCAACACCATGACATAAAAATTATTTGTTCCTAAAATTGAAACCGCATATTAAAAAATGTAACCTGTTTCCCCCAAGTGGACGCTGACCCTAGTGCTGCATTCCCTCACGCCCAAGTCACCCCCCTCTTTGCAGTTTTCAGCTTTAAAAACAGTTGTCTCTACCCACCTTGGCGTGCACATATTTGGAGACGAGAGTACGTGCCACCGCTGAGCTCAGCTAAATAAAGCGCTTTTAAGCTGAGTCCAGTTTTTTATTTTTGGGTTACAACAGAACTACTGAACTTATCAATGGATGAATTCATTTTGGATCTAAACCATAACAAATAGTATGGTAATTTCATAGCTTAAATTATCCCAGCTTTGTTCATTAGATGTTTTTCAGATTTTCTCTTGTGTCCCTTTGACATGGTAACCTGCTTTTTTTTTTTTTCTTAAACTTTTTTGTTTTAAAAAGTTCTAAGTTGTGCTTTTCTGTGGTCCCCGGCAGGGTCCATACAGCGCTGTTCCTGATTCCCATGGTAATTTAAAGGGAAACTTCACAATGTCCGGAGCCCTTGATGTCCTGCAAATGAAGGAGGAGGACGTTCTCAAGTTCCTTGCTGCAGGAACCAACTTAGGTGGCACCAACCTGGATTTCCAGATGGAACAGTATATCTATAAAAGGAAAAGTGATGGAATCTACATCATAAATCTAAAGCGGACTTGGGAGAAGCTCCTCCTGGCAGCTCGAGCCATCGTGGCCATTGAAAACCCTGCTGACGTCAGCGTCATATCCTCCAGGAGCACTGGCCAGCGGCCTGTGCTGAAGTTTGCTGCTGCCACTGGAGCTACTCCTATCACTGGCCGCTTTACTCCTGGAACCTTCACTAACCAGATCCAGGCAGCCTTCCGAGAGCCACATCTTCTGGTGGTTACTGACCCCAGGGCTGACCACCAGCCGCTAACGGAGGCATCTTAAGTCAATCTGCCAACCATTCCTCTGTGCAACACAGATTCTCCTCTGCGCTATGTGGACATTGCCATCCCGTGCAACAATAAGGGAGCTCACTCTGTGGGTTTGATGTGGTGGATGCTGCCCTGGGAAGTGCTGCGCATGTGTGGCACCATCTCCCATGAACACCCATGGCATGCCTGATCTCTACTTCTACCGGGATCATGAAGAGATTGAAAAGGAAGAGCAGGCTGCTGCTGAAAAGGCTGTGACCAAGGAGGAATTTCAGGAAGAATGGACTGCACCAGCTCCAGAGTTCACTGCTGCTCACCCTGAGGTCGCAGACTGGTTTGAGGGCGTGCAGGTGCCGTCTGTGCCCATTCAGCAGTTGCCTACTGAAGACTGGAGTGCTCAGCCGGCCACAGAAGATTGGTCTGCGCCCCCACCACGCAGGCCACTGAGTGGGCAGGAAATACCACTGAGTGGTCTTGAGCTGTTCTGCTGACGCTTCAGCAAAATGGGAATGAGGCTGATGAAAAATAAAACAATTTCTAAGAAAAAAAAAGTTCTAAGTTGTGAGATTGGCCTTGAATTTTTAAAATTTTTTTTTTATTTATTTATGTGTGTGTGTGTGGCCAGCTCAGCCCACCAGGGGGCGGGGCTGGCTGGCATGTGGTGCTGGGGGATTGAACCCCGGTCCTTGTGCTTTAGCTAAGCTTGTTCTAGGCAGGTGCTTTAGACCACTGAGCCATCTCACCAGCCCCATGGCCTTGAATTTGGAATCCTCCTGCCTCAGCTTCTGAGTGCTAAGATCACAGGCAGCGTGTTACTGTAGTTGGCTTTAAAACCTTTCTTTTATTTTACTGGTGATTGAATCCAACACCTTCACACTAAGGTACATCCCTTGCCCTTTCTAAAGCTAAGGCAGGTTCTTGCTAGACTACTAAATTGCCCAGGCTGGCCCTGAACTTTTGATCCTTTTGCTTCAACCTCCCAGAGTGCTAGGCTTACAGTGTGTAACACTGCAACCACTTAAAAACTTTTATTCAAGTTAAATATTCAAGCACAGCCTGTTGAATTTTCTTGAACTCAACAGACCCACATAAATGGCACCTAGAAAAAGGACAGAGTATTCCTTTCAGAGTTGTTATCATCATGATGATAACATAATTCATTATGATAATATGATAACATGATGATAACATAATATATATTATGTTAAAATATAAGTTGATTATAAGTTCAATAAACTTGACTTTAGTTTATTTCTCATTGTCATGTAATTTTCCATTATCTAAATATAGCATAATTTCTATTTTTATGTTTATTTTGTCATTGGGCATTAACTATTTTATTTATAAATACTCTAGTCTGCCTTTTACTTTTGAGACAGAGGCTCGCCATGTAGTTCATTCTGATTTTGAACTCACTGTGTAATCCAGGCTGATCTTGAACTTGGGGAGATTCTCCTGAGCTGGTAGTACAGGTATGTGCCATGACACCCAAATTTTTTAAAAAATGGTGCTGGCGGTTGAAGCCAGGCCCTCCCACATGCTAGGCAAGTGCTCTACCACACATGTTAGGCAAGTGAGCATTGTTCCTGGCCCTTTTAATCTTGAGATAGGGTCTCAATAGATTGCCCAGACTGGTTTCAAGCTTGTGATATCCCTTCTCAGCTGGGATTGCAGGCCTTTCCCCTGTACCCTGCCTACCCTGAGTTTTGATGAATATGCATTAAAGCCCACCATAAATAGGAACTGTTAGAGTACAGTAGGGAATCTCGGGATAAGAAGCTAGGAAGATCCTTTAATGGAATCTGGGCTGGTGTGATAGTTTTATAGGAAATTAGAAGAGTACAGCTTTGGATTGATCAGCCAGAAATGGAATTCAGTGTCTAAACATCAGTGGTTTTTTTTTTTTTTTTTTGGTGGTACCGGGGATTGAACTCAGACCCTTGCACTTGCCAGGCAAGTGCTTATTCTACTGAACCATCTCTCTGGCCTCTGAACATCAGTGTTTATGTAGGAGACAGGAAGAATAAATCAAGCTGGAGTTGCCTTTGGTGAAGAGGCAACAACACTCATGTTAGAAGGGGGTGTTTTTTCATTTCTTTTTTTTTCTCATTAAACTTTGTTTTAATAGGTCTCAAAATTCTGTGACAGATTTTTGGTCAAGTTGTTTCCATTAAAAAGTATTGATTTTAAAAACTAATAACTTAAAAACTGCCACACACACACACAAAAAAAAATGGTCCACAAAACATTCTCCTTTCCTTCTGAAGGTTTTACGATGCATTGTTATCATTGACCAGTCTTTCACTATTAAACTTAAATGGCCAATTGGGAGAAACAGTTCTGAGACCAGTCTTCCGCCACTGATTAGGACTGGGGTGGCAGGTGTCAGGGATAACATTCATTTAGCCTTCTGATCCTTCTGGGCAGACTTGGTGACCTTGCCAGCTCCAGCAGCCTTCTTGCCCACAGCTTTGATGACACCCACAGCAACTGTCTGTCTCATATTGTGAACAGCAAAATGACCCAGAGGTGGATAATCAGAGAAGCTCTCGACACATATGGGCTTGCCTGGAACCATGTCGACAATGGCAGCATCAACAGATTTCAGAAACTTGGGCCCATCTTCCAGCTTCTTACCAGACCGACGATCAATCTTTTCTTTCAGCTCAGCAAACTTGCAAGCAATGTGAGCTGTGTGACAATCCAGGACAGGGGCATAGCCAGCACTGATCTGGCCAGGATGGTTCAGGATAATCACCTGAGCAGTGAAACCAGCTGCTTCCATTGGTGGGTCGTTTTTGCTGTCACCAGCCACATTGCCATGCTGGACATCTTTGACGGACACGTTCTTGACATTGAAGCCCACATTGTCCCCAGGAAGAGCTTCACTCAAAGCTTCATGGTGCATTTCAACAGACTTGACTTCAGTTGTGACATTGACTGGAGCAAAAGTGACCACCATGCCAGGTTTGAGAACACCAGTCTCCACTCGGCCCGCAGGGACAGTGCCAATACCACCAATTTTGTAGACATCCTGGAGGGGCAGCCGCAAAGGGTTGTCAGTGGGCGAGTGGGTGGGAGGATGCAATCCAAAGCTTTAAGCAGTGTGGTTCCACTGGCACTGCCATCCTTGCGAGTGACCTTCCATCCTTTGAACCAAGGCATGTTAGCACTTGGCTCCAGCATGTTGTCACCATTCCAACCAGAAATTGTCACAAAAGCAACAGTGTCAGGGTTGTAGCCGATTTTCTTAATGTAGGTGCTGACTTCCTTAACAATTTCCTCGTATCTCTTCTGGCTGTAGGGTGGCTCCGTGGAATCCATTTTGTTAAGTCCAACAATTAGTTGTTTCACACCCAGTGTGTAAGCCAGAAGGGCATGCTCACGGGTCTGCCCGTTCTTGGAGATACCAGCTTCGAATTCACCAACGCCAGCAGCAACAATCAGGACAGCACAGTCAGCCTGCGATGTGCCTGTAATCACATTTTTGATGAAGTCTCTGTGTCTAGGGGCATCGATGATGGTCACATAATACTTGCTGGTCTCGAATTTCCACAGGGAGATGTCAATGGTGATACCACGCTCACACTCGGCTTTCAGCTTGTCCAACACCCAGGCATACTTGAAGGAACCCTTCCCCATCTCAGCAGCCTCCTTCTCAAATTTTTCAGTGGTTCTTTTGTCGATGCCACCGCATTTGTAGATCAGATGGCCGGTGGTGGTGGACTTGCCGGAGTCCACGTGTCCGATGACGATGATATTAATGTGGGTCTTTTCCTTTCCCATGTTGGCTTCGATTTAGTGGTGGCCTTCACTATGCCTGTGCGCTCACGGCAAACCCGTTGCGAAAAAGTGTTTTTTCATTTCTGAGATTGTAAAGGGCCATATTTCTGTTTTATTAGGGTGCTGGGCAGGTAGCTCAGCAGTTTAAGCATTAGCCTGGCAAGCACAAGGTCCTGAGTTTGATCCCTAGTACCAGAAAAAAAATATCTTAGTATGAAACGCAATTATGGTGTAACTATCTTTGAACTTTGTCTATATTTTATGTTATTTATTTCCAAATGGAAACATTCTGCTAGCATAACTGTAGTGTCTCAGCCACCCTTCATATCACAGCTATCAGCAAAGCCATTAACACTTTTAATTAATTAATTAATTAACTTTATTGGTATCAGGAATCAAATTCAAGACCTTGTGCTTGCCAGGCAGGTGCGTGTGACGCTGATCTATATCCTGATGCCAACGCTTTCCTATTTTCTGAAACAGGGTCTTAGTATGTAGTTCGGGCTGGCCTTGAGCGTGCTATGTAGCCTAGGCTTTTCTTCAACTCAATGATCTTCCTGCCTCAGCTTCTTGAGTGCTGGGATTATGGATGTGTGCCGCCTTGCCCAGCTTGTTTTTGGTCTTTTCAGCATATAATTTAAAAAACTTCAAGCACCTATAGTATTTAGATGCCAATAGAATTCCCATCTCTGACAGGACTAAACAAAAAAGGGGATACAAAGGAAGGACGATTTTGTATTTGTATATACAGAATAGTTAGGATAGATATACAGCTACTTTCGCTTAATTCAGTGAGAAGAAAGATTTGTAGTAGTAATGTTTGGACAGGCTATCCTGTCTGCTTCTTGTACTATGCATAACCACTAAGAAGATAACAATGTACACTGTATTAATTATTGAAAATGTCCTATTGGGCCAGGGAGGTAGCTCAGTAGAATAAGTGCTTACCTGGCAAGTGCAAGGGCCTGAGTTCAATCCCTGGTTCATAGGGCTGGGGAGATGGCTCAGTGGAATAAGTGCTTCCCTGGCAAGTGCAAGGGCCTGAGATCTATCCCTGGCTCCACCAAAAAAAAAAAAAAAAAAAAAAAAAAGCCACAATCCCTGGCTCAGAAAAAAAAAAATGTCCTGTTACTCAGCTTTGAAACTGTCTTATTGATATTTTTTTCTCAATAAAATAATTTTTTTTTTAAACTGAAGCCAGGCATGGTGGTACACACTAGTGATCCCAGTACTCAGGAGGCTAAGGTAGGAGGATCACGCTGAGTTTGAGGCCAACCTAGGGTAAAAAGTAA